TTACTCTTATCGAAGTAGACAGCACATCCAATTTTCCTGAAAAGTTAGTGGATTGCTACAGAACTGAACGCAACCAAGTTAAGCCCGAATCCCCTAGTTTTCTAAATCAAAACCATACCATCCGACCGTTGCTGATACCTTGATGTGGTGGTCGGGCTGGCCTATCGTGATGAAACAATCGAGCTATGCTGGCTGGAACAATCGTTCCTCGAGGTCCTACCATGCCAGACAGGTCGGTCGAAGGGCGGTAAGACTAAAAGCAGCAATCCCAAGGTCCGAAGGCGAAGTCGTACTGCCGACTGTACAGAGGTGTGACGGCAGTAAGGTGTTTCCTTCAGAAAACCAGCATGACAGCGATGCTTCCTTCCCACAAGGAGGGGTGGGGTTAGAAAAGGTCGACCCTAAAAATGCACACCTCGCCTTATCCCACGGATTTCCGTCTCCGGCGGTAAGATCCTTTGAAGAACGGAGCTAACACGTCAAAAATCCCCCACAAAAAAGCCGCGCGTGACCGGCCTCAAGCAGTTGTCCCTTGGGCACTGCGGTCACGCTCCCAGGTCGTTAAGACCAACACTAATCCAACTTCTTTTTCAGGTCCCTCAAGAAATACCCTTCCACGGTGTGGGCAGCCGGGAAGTGATATTAGCCCTCATACCCGTAACAGCACACGAGACCAAGTTGATCACTTTCAAATACTTCCTACACCTAATAACTATCTTGTTTTCACGACTAACCCTTCCCACGTCCTTTTATCACCTCGCACCGCTAGGGCAAACGATTCGAGTACACAGAACGTTATTCCTGGTCTCCTGAAACCACACTCTAAACTACATATAGGAACTTTTAATGTCCGAACATTGTGCCAAATAGGACAACAGGCTTCCTTAGCTAGGACTCTAGAATCTTACACCATCGATGTGTGCTGCGTCTCCGAAACGCGCATACAAGATCCGAGTAGTGTCATTCATTTGACCGCACCTAATCAAAATAAAGAACCAACTCAATACACGCTTCGTGTATCTGGAAGCCCTGATGCTGCTTCCCGTGGCCTCGCTGGAGTAGGTATAGCATTAAGTCCTAGGGCAGAACTAGCTCTTTTAGACTGGATCCCAGTAGACAGTCGTCTATGCGCTGTCCGACTAAACAGATCAGTAAGGACTCGGAAGGATAGGGAAACTCGTCGTTGCCTTTTCGTCGTCTCTGCCTACTCTCCCACTGACTGCAGCTCAGACGATATAAAAGATGAGTTTTACAGGAAACTTTCTGACCGAAAAGCTAGGCGTTCTGATGTAGTAATAGTGGCTGGCGACTTCAATGCTCAAGTAGGTAAACTAAGTGAGAGGGAAAGACACCTGGAAGGATCTTATGGTGTCGTGGCTAAAAGAACGGATAATGGCGACCGTCTATTGCAGCTGTACTCAGATAACCGCCTATTTCTTGCAAATACTAACTTTAAGCACAAGGAAAAACATCTTTTGACATGGCGACCCCCGAATTCGTCCCAACGTTGGACCCAATTAGATCACATCGCTATCAGCCACCGATGGAGGGGCTCAACGGAAGACTGTCGCTCATTCTGGAGCACATGTTTAGACTTAGATCATGCTCTAGTGCGAGCACGTATCTGTCTGCGTCTTACTGGACGTAGGAAAGACACTGCAGGGAAGCCTCTAAGGGTTCTACTTAATGATAGGCTAGCTAAGAACATATTTCAGGAACTAGAAAAACAGTTAGACAGACATGTAAGTTGTGCCCACCCCAAAGCAGCCTGGAATGACATCCGAAAAGCTGTGGAAACAGCAGTGATATCCGCTAGTAAGGTAAACCATAACGTTAGGGAGAAGCAGTGGATTTCGGCAGCATCTACCGCACTGATAGATACTCGTAAATTCATCCCACCTGGCTCTGAGCATAACGAAGAGCGGAGTCAACTTAAGCGCAGGCTTATAAGAAGCCTACGCAATGATCGTGAACAGTGGTGGGTAGCGAAAGCAAGAGAGATGGAAAAGGCAGCGGCAATAGGTAACAGCAGACAACTATTCAGACTTATTAAAGAAACCTGTATTAGGAACCCAACTATTAGCGAAACTATCTCAGACAAAGATGGGCATATCATTCATTCTCAATCCAGGAGATTGGATCGATGGGCAGAACACTTTAGGGATCAGTTCAACTGGCCTTCAGCCACACTTCAGTTACCCACGATCCCCAGTCGTCCTGAATGGAAAATTGATGTAAGTCCTCCAACCCTCTGTGAGGTTGAAAAAGCTATAGGAAATCTGAAGCGAGGGAGAGCCGCAGGCCCTGACAGGTTGACCCCTGAGATTTTTAAGGATGGTGGTCCAGTACTAGCAGCGAGATTGACTAAGGTCTTAGGTAGAATCTGGGAACTGGACGTAATTCCATCTGACTGGTCCCAATCACTGATTGTGCCAGTCTATAAGAAAGGACAAAAGTCCTCCTGTGACAATCACAGAGGGATCAGTTTGACTAATATAGTGTCTAAAATATTAGCTTCAATAATACTTCGAAGCCTAACCAAAGCTCGTAAATAGCAGACTAGAGAAAACCAGGCTGGTTTTCGACCTGGACGTGGTTGCATAGACCAGATATTCACTCTTCGTCAGGTCCTAGAACATAGACATACATTCAGACGTCCCACAATCGTAGTATTTCTTGACCTTAATGCGGCATTTGACTCCATTGATCGTGAGGTTCTATGGCAGTGTTTGTCAGTGAAAGGAGTACCAAAGAGGTACATTAACCTCATAAAGGCTCTCTACTCGAACACAAATGGTCGAGTTAGAGCCTATGGCGAACTGTCATCAGAATTGGTTACCTCAAGTGGTGTTCGTCAGGGCTGTCCACTCTCCCAATTCTTGTTTAACTTTGTAGTTGACATGCTTTTAGAGATATCACTTTCATCATCTCAATCTCCTGGAGTTAAACTTTTACCGGGAGATTCACGCCGACGAAATAGTCTTATTCGGTGAAGATGCTGACAAAATGCAGTCTTCTGACCACTATAAGCATCTATGCAGGCATGTTCGGGATGCGATTCTCTCCCTCGAAGTGCAAAATGTTACTTCAGGATTGGGTTGCATCGACACCTGAACTAATGATAGGGAGTAAAGTAGTTGAGCGTGTTGACAGCTTCACTTATCTTGAGAGTCTCATCAGCCCTTGTGGTCTGGTATGTGACGAAATGTCAGCACGGATACAGAAGGCTCGTCTAGCTTTCGCCAACTTGCGCCATTTATGGCGTAGGCGAGATATCCGTCTAGCAACCAAAGGACGGGTTTACTGTGCAGCAGTTCGCTCCGTCCTACTTTATGGTAGTGAAACATGGCCGATAAGAGTAGAGGATATTCGTAGGCTACTAGTGTTCGATCATAGGTGTCCTCGACGCATTGCTCGTATATCCTGGGACCACCGGGTAAGTAATGCAGATGTTAGGAAACGGATACTAGGTAAGGATGGCGAATCGATTGATGAAGTACTGAAACTTCATCAGTTGAGATGGCTGGGACACGTGTTACGTATGCCCAACCACCGACTGCCCCGACGTGCAATGCTTTATGGTGTAGGAGCAGGTTGAAAGAAAGCTAGGGGGGCAGACCAAAACGTGGCACAAATCCGTGAAGTCGCTGACGAGTGGACTGGACCATGTTGGTAGATGTAGACTACCTGGTTGAGATTCGCGAGATGATAGCAACCGATGGTTAGAGATCTTGAATGACATGGCTCAAAATCGTTTGCAATGGCGAAGGTGCATCCACTCTTCGTGCTCTACCAAATTCTAATCTTCTGAATCCTTCATGTTCGTATCCTTTTTCTCTTCCTAAATTTATTTCACCGTATTATTACTCCTTGAATAACATTATAATATAGAATAAAGCCATTAATAATAATAATAATCTTCAAACCCTAATCTTTCCGATTACTACTTATACTCTTACTACTTCTACCACTATGGGATTTGAATCGACAACTTCATCTCTGTGCTAATGTGGTATGGCAACTCGAACTGGTGTACGTACATGCCCCCAAATGCTCCGGTACGGCCGAGAGTGGGGAGAGTCCGCTCTCACTCTCGAAATGCTCTCACATGGCCACGAGTATATAGCCCCTGCCAGGGAAGTCCTACTCACTGCCTTCCCGTGGCGGAGGTGTTGTTTACGAAAGTGAGAGGACGAAAAGCGAATGTCCGCCGCTATAACCGGGTTGGTGGATATGAATTGGTTTATCGGGAAAGAGATGTCCAACAAATGATTAAATCAGACAGTAAAACAACTGGAAGTTCTGGTCTTCATCTAATCAACAGACTAATACTATGCGACCATCATTACTGTACAAATTCCTGAGGAGACATATTTGATAACAAAGTAATGTCCATTTTCATATTCTCAGTGGCCACAAAACAACTACATGGCAGGCTCGATCGCCTTTAGCCCCCAAATGCCCTGGCATGGCCGAGAGTGGGGAGAGTCAGTTCTCCCTCTCGAAATGCCCTCATATGGGCACGCGTATACAGTCACTCCAAAGGAAGTACTACTCACCGCCTTTTCACAGCGGGGGTGCGGTTTACGAAATTAAGAGGACGAAAAGCAAACGTCCAGATTGGAAGATCTACCTAAAGGAGCCGGGAAACCTTTATTCCAAACCAATGGTGAACATGGACTTCATTTTCCTAAGGAGACAAATGGCGTATGAACCTACGTACGTTGTATGCAATTCTCGACGTATTTAACCACGCAATTTTAGTGTTTGAATAAGTCCTGAAATAGTGAAAAAGAGAATCACCAAACAGCGAAGTATTATCACCAACTCGATGAAATACTGGTCATGAAATCCAGTTTTATCAACAGAAGTACGCCCCCGGGACTTCTGTAGTAGGCATGTATTTAATTGATTTTTAAAAAGTGACTATTACAACAATATCTATATACTCCAGTTGTGCTAGAATGTAGTATCACTCCATATGGAACATCAGAAACACTTTATTCAAGCATATGTGCAGCTTTCCTCTTTGAACGTTTATTTTCTTCATTAGCCCACTCAATTATCATATAGGTTATTACAAAAGCTACAAAAATAAACATTCTAAGTGAGTTGGCGACTTACGAGTACCAACAATAAGCACTTTCTCCCTAAATCTGCGCATCAAGTTTGGGAACCCATCTTTAAAGAATCCTGAGAAGGCTTTCTGTTCGTACGGTGATAAAGAATACGTTATAACACCGCGGCGATAATTCAAGTGACCAAATTTCATCCTTGTCACGGTAAAAAGTCAGGGCCTTTCAAAGGCACCCGCTGTTTCAGTTTAACGACCTTGAACGACCTTACAGGAGATGGGTATTTCGTATTTGAGTTGTTGAGGGTCTGTCGGGTGTCCGTTGGATTGCATGAATATCAGGTTTTCTCATATTTGAGTCGTGTTTTGCTGCAGTAAATTTGCTAAATCAATGCGAAAAGCTTTAATTTAGCTTTTTCTGTTTTTTTGTGTATAATATGGCTCTTCTGTTGCTTCATAACTCTACCTGGGATACCAATTACCCTATTGAACCTTACTTTCCTTGTTTAAGATTTGTTTGGGTCCACAAAGCAGCGTATTGAGAATAATTTAACAGTCAAAGATACTTTAAATTTGTATGAATCGTTGTTTTCCACAAGAATTAAGACGAAATCTCGAGTAACCGGTAATTCCTAAGTGTTTGTAGTACTTTCTTCAGTTAATAATGTATTATCGCAAGAAACAACTTTTTCAATAACTAATAAGTGCTGTTTGTAGTTATTCATGTTCAGAAGACATTCCAGTGGACTTAAGCGAGGCGTTTCAACTTATAATACTGAACAGGCGTTTCGGAAGATTCTTCACAGTTATCCTTGTAGTAGTTCATGGATGGTTTGTGATCCATGAACCAGAAGATTGTCCTCAGAAGAAAACGAAAATTTGAAGCCGTTATTAAAGATTGAATTGGTAAGCAGGTTATTGCTGCCGATGTGAAAACCATGAAAGTTCAACTCTCCTCAGGTAGTTGTCTAAAGGTCAATTTATGTTGTTATACACGACTGCAAGTATTTGATATATTGCGACAAAACGGTGAACTAAGAGAGTATTCAGAAAATGGATATAACACCAGAATCTGCTTTAGTACTTATGAGCAGATAGAATCATATAACAAATATCCGGAAATATTTTGTGATGATCCTACTTACAACACCAATAATAAAAAGAATTAATGTTTTTTTTTCAATTTTACTTCCTATATATTCGTTATTCCAGTTGACAATAACGGATAATTTTGAACGGGGCCATCCTATTATGTTCGCATGGACGCAAAAGAAATTTCGAATAGATGTAACCTGGATCCCGGATAAGTTCAGAAGGAGAAGCTTGATCAATTACGAAATAAATAAACTAAATAGATCATCATATTATTGGACAATGCAGCCGATGGAAGATGAATAACACACATAACTTCCATAATAACGCAACATCATAACCCAGAAGGAGCGAACAGTATATGCGTATTCAGCGAAGCCAAAAGACGCACAGACAACAGATCATTGAGGAATATGGTGTGGAGGAAAGTCGACAATTTTTACTTAAAAATCATGGATAACTAGGTAAGACTGCAATTTCTAAAACGCTTCTCTTCGTTAAGTACTCTTTACGATCAAAATACGGTTCGGAGTGTAAGAAAGTGCGGGTCTGTGACAAGAACTGCTAGCTGTAAAAAGTTCTTTATGTTTTTACTTTCGATTTCACTATAAACAACTTGTAAAAAGACTTTTCTGCATAAAATGTTGCTGTTTCTGTACCAGTAGTAATGATGCATCAATAAACGTTATCGCAATTTTTATTTTCGTTTTCAAACTTTTATGGGGAGGTATACCGAAAATTTCAACGGGTGACTGTTTGTGAAAATTAAAAATCTACTAAGTGTTTGCCTTATAAGTACTGGATTCGTTACGAAAACTTGTAGTTTTGTATCGGTTTAGATGTTTCGCTACAATGCTGCGTTGTATGCATGAGTTTCTTCATTGTGACAGTATATTGCTGTCTTGTTTTTTCCTTCTTCCGTCGTGTCAAGGGCTCCCGTAGAGATCGATTCCATATGACGATGATGCTTGTTGCAGCCCAGTACCTCCTGACATGTTGAAGTTAGTGCTTCTTTGATCCCTTTCCAGTTGTCTACCATCGTAGTCTCTTGTTCTTTCAGTAGATTCTGTAAGGTTTGAAACGGGTTGTTAAGAGTTATTTTGTCTAGGTTGAGTTTGTCAGTATGTCCAGGTAAGGGTATGTTGAACCTTTGTAATGCTGTTTGTCTAGTTGTCCAATGCTTCTTTAGCTTCAGTTTCATCTTGTCAACAACCAGCTAGTAGTGATTTGAAGCTACGTCAGCTCCAATTCTGGTTCTCACATCTTCCACTGTCCTTCGGAATGGTTTACTGATATAAATATGATTTATCTGGTTCTCGGTGGTGTGGTCCGGTGAGATCTATGTAGCTTTGTGTATGCGATTGTGTGGTAATATTGTGGCATCTATAACCAGTTTGTTGAAGGCATATACGTTTGAAAATCTCACACTATTCTCTTTCCTTTCTCCAAGTCAGTCCATGACATTACATGATATCTTCATATCCTGTGTTGTCCACTCTGACTTTGGAGTTTAGATCTCTCATCAGAATGATCGAGTCCTTTCCTGAGCACTTAGATATGATTGAATAAAGCCTCGAGTAGAACTGATCTTTATTTTCATCGTTGCCATCACTGGTGGTTGCATAACATTGGATAACATTCATTATGGTCCTTTCCTTCCTTGTGTTGAATGATGCTTTGATATTTATGAATTCGTGAAATTCACATCCTACAAGTGCATTTCGTGCTTCTCTGGACAGCATAAGAGCAACTCCCTGAGTGTGTGGAGTGTTTTCCTCCTCGTGACCGGAGTACAGCAGCATCTCTCCCGTACCTGGCCTTTGCTGACCACCTTGGGCCTAATGTGCTTCGCTGATTCCAAGTACTGCTAAATTGTATCTCCTCATTTCCATGGCAATTTGACTGGTCTTCCCGGTCTCCCACATTGTCCGGATATTCCATGTACATATGAAAATTGTTGATGTGGTTGATAGAAGGAGCATCGGCCACGTAACTTCCGGAGAATCTCGGCTTTCTTCCTGAGGCGTCATAATTCTTCCTTCAAATCTGAGAGCAGAGTTTAAATGATTTGAATTACTTTTTCTGGTTAGCAATTTTTTAGCGGGTTAGTTTTCTACAGGATTGAGTAGCTAGCCCCATGCCCGACCCTCCTCCTTTACCCGGGCTTGGGACCGGCAGTAACTCTAGAAGAGCTACAGGCGGAGTGTAGTAAAAGTTGTTATTACTGAACATTTATGCATCTACCACGCTATTTTATTTCTTATTAGCTCTCAATCTTCTTTGCATCATCCTTCAGTCATAAGCTTTTCATCCCAAGGTGCTCCAACCTTTAGGTTGCTTAGTTTGGTTTTACACCCTTAAATTATATCATCGAAAACCAAAACTTGTATCCGTTTCTTTGACCCATTCATGTTATAAGAAGTCGACCTAACAGAATAACTTAATATATTAAATATTAAGTCCTGTAACTTATGTAACACTTGATCTTGCCTATAAACTGACATGCCGCTTGTAAGTTATTTTTATCTAAGAAATCACAACTACTATTGTGGTGTGGTCTACTTATGTCCATATGAGTATTTCATGGTGTTGGTCAGACATAGAATGTATTTTGGCAGAAGACCGACGAAGGAAGAACTGAAATGAAACGTAATCGGTAGGACAATGCACAAACAATGGAATTAGAGGAGAAACAGTGAAGATTGAGACTATTGGTTGTTAATTTTCAAATTAACTGCCTATTGTATGGTTATCAGAATTTACTGAGATGGTCTGTAATTTTTGCTTAAATTCATTCGATTGTCTCCAACCAGTGTTTTGTTCACTACACTATTACCACACTTTTGGTATTTCTATATCCACTTACAACTTATGCACTAAAGACAACTCCATGTCTGCTGAATTCATCTTTTGCTGTATATTGTTAGCGAGACCTAAGTGTTAAATTGTAATACCATCTGGATTAGCCTTTAACACCCACCATTGCATTCACCGGTTACTGTTCATTAATTCAGGTCTGTCCTAAAGGAAACCACTTAGGATTCATACCTATTTCGATAGAGCGAAATTAGACTAGCTTCCTTTATTGTTACTACCTACAAACCTAATTCAATCTGATCATGTCTGTGAGTCGGGATGTATTCTGCAATAAAATTCGGAATGTGTTATTGTCATTAAAATCCCTTGACATTAGGGGTCAGCAACTAGTTGAAAAATGCCAAGCTCATCTAGCAAGACATCGTTTGCTGTACATTTCGGATCGGGATAAGCCAGATCTATCATGAATTCTTGCCCTCTCATTTCAAGCAGGTATTGGCTATTTTTCAAATTTCACTTTTATGGAATGCACCACAGGTAACAGTAAATTGGACATTACTCTCAACTAGTAAGACCATACCTTATCATTTATGCTTACTGACAGAGTGAAGTTTTTGAAACCAACTTCCCTATCATCTTCAGACGGGGTCACTCGTTCTTCTATCAAAGTACTTAACACAGCCTGGTAGAATCTGTCCGTCCATCTACTACTACGTTGGCTCTAGACAGCATTGAAATAAGTTTGACGTCCGTTTAATTGAATTATTGTGCCATCCAAAACAGTTTTATCACCATCCTCTTTATAAGCCCCTCACCACCCATTTTGAGGTCTCTTTCTACGAGATCAAATCTTAGCCTAAGCTGTTTCTGAGCTAGATTTTTACATGATCGGCAAGCGAAAAGTATTGTCGGATAAAAAACCTCAAGTTATTCAATATGCATTCATTCTGTATTTTTGATGCCATCTTTAGAACCCTAGTTTAGTTATACTTATAGTCCACCTGGCTACCTAGTATGTAGACGTTCTACGGGTTGACCGCTGTGACACCTTGAATATACCTTATTTTGAGCCAACGTTATGCTCGATTTATAATCTCTTTAATTTTAACCCCATTATGTGAAAGAAAATTGACCTAGCACTGTGATTAGCCATGAGATTTTCAACTACATTTGAAGAAACCTACTCTTCTTTTGCCATACCAAGTTATTTTTCCCCATTTTCTTTTCGCCGCGCATCCTTTCTGCAGCTTAGTACTTTATTTGTAATCTCAGCCACTTTACATACAAGT